TTATATTTAACTTGATCTAAATTCCTTGAATTAAAATACATTAAAAAATATAATAATTTTATATTATTCATATAAAAATATTAAAGAGATGAAACTTTTGACGAAATTACAATTTTTCAAAAAAAAGTTTAGTCAGGTATCACAAGTCAGAGCCTTTGGTAATTATTGAAAATTTGTAGATCCTTCCATATTTTTTAAAAACATTTCGTATAATGTCAGACTTTACAAAGAAGGGAATATCATTGACTTTAATGCATCTGCTTTTTTCATCGTCTTTGCATTGTTATTTGGCATTAGGATCAATTACTAAAAAGATTGGATTGTGTTATGTTTTTTTGACTTTATCAGTTACTTGTGCTAAGGAGTCTAAACTGTGAAAATAAATGTAGAATTTTCTTTGTCTTGTATTGTAGTTATACATAAAGTCAAAATGAAAACCTAAAAGTCAAAATGTTTCAACTTTGGAGGTCAAAGTCAAAATGAAAAGTTGAAATGATCAAAATTACGTCATATAGGAGCTTTGCAATAGAAAGGGAGGAAACTCTAAAAAAATTTTTTTTTGAGTTAATGTTAAATCTGAACTTATTTTACTAAAAAAATCATAATTAGCTTAGAAAGTAAAATTTTAATTTTTTTAGAGTTTCCTCTCTTTCTACTGCAAAGTCCTATATCACATGATTTTTTATATAGAAAAAACAAAAAAAATAAAAGATGTACGATTTCAGTCAATATCGCTCCGATTTGTATGAAACAACTACCATTTGATTTCCCAGATTTCTCATTCAATTCCCCTACACTCTTTCTCGTTAGATTTTTTCCAAGAGTTTTTACTTAAAAAAGTACCTGTTTAACAGCGACCGCAGCTTAGCCTATGAACAAACAAAAAAATCTCACCTTTCAAAAATATTTCTCTCTTTGTTTCCTACATCCCTATCCACATAAAATTTTTTAAAATAGTCTAAACAGTGTTGTTTTTTGTTAAAATATTTTTTTCTTCACCTTTTTTTGAAAAAATTTTTTCTGTTTTTCTGTTTTTCTTTTTTGTTTACTAAAAAGTGAACATCAAAGGGTATTCCAACTGATAATCATGATCGATATACTTTGGATAAACAAAACTCACGTGATGATACCTTCCCTTCCTAAACAATATACTCTCTTTTGATTAGCCTCTGCCTTTCTGCTAATCCTCTGTCGTCAAAGATCACATGCAAATTTAGCGTAAATTATTACTTAGTTTCTTCATAAGGTCTTCTATATAGTGTGATGGTAGCTACCACTTGGTTTTGTATTTTGTCAGCCTACCATAGTTTTAAATGGAGCTCCAGGTAGTTATTGCCATTTGCTTATTCAGTGTAAGTCCGCTTCGTTTAGATCCATTCCTTCTTGGTAACTAGGTAGAGGTATAGGTTACTATCTATTAATTCTTTGTAGGGTTCTCGTAGTGGATTCCACATGATATTTTCCATATTTATGAATCTATAAGTATGAAGAGCCTCTGTTTGAACTTTTCTTTAGACACAACTTCTTTGGTCAGGTGGTCGTTATATTCAGAATTAACCGGACATTTAGGTTTTATAGAGTTGTGTTGTCTTTTTTAATAATTTTTATTTGTACCTATTTCCCTTCTTAGGAGAGTTGTTAATTTTTAAATTTTATTTAAAAGTTGGGATCAAAGGGCATTTAGAAATTACATTGCTGTATTGACAACCTCATTTGAATTTCTTGTTAACAGCTTAATCATTATATATGGATTTTTTGGTTAAGTCAGAAAGGGATTCCGGTGATTAGTCATTCTAAACAGGTTTGAACTTTTATTAGCAATAGGATCATGTGAGATAGTCATTAGTTTAGTTTTTTATCTACTTTGTATTTTTCTTGTAAATTTTATTTAGTATATAATATAAAATCAATAAACTTAATGGCAGTATACATTGTTAAAAAAAACATTTAATTTCCCACGACTAGATGAATAATACAACTGCAATTATCTTGAGATTGAATGATCTAAAATCAATGAATGTTAGCTCATTAAATTTATCTAATCACGAGAAATCGAATGGTAGTTGTATCATACGAATCAAAGCGATATTGATTGAGATTATACATCTTTTGTTTTTTTTTATTTTTCTATATATAAAAATCATGTGATATGATGTTATTTTGACTATTTCGACTTTTTACCTCTAATAGTCGAAATGATTTCGACCATTTCGACCATTTTGGATATCCAAAATGATCTATTTCGACTTCATGTATAATTGTAGTATAAACCTCTGAATCCATCAAAATGGTTGGTAAGTTATTGATCGTATAACATTTTTTTGCAATTGAGAAATCAGTAACATCTTTAATATCAGTAGACGCGTAAAAATGCGTTGGTAAAGTAATAATGATAAAAGATTGTTGTTAATGTAATCATTTTTATCAGCGATGTGTTGTTCATAAGGTTCAAAGTCTTCATTTCAGGTTACTTTCTTTTTTCCTTTGGTGTCAGAAGTTTGAGTACCCATAATGTTTGATAAACAAGATGAGATAGATAGCGTGCATAGAGTCATTTATACTTTGGTCAATTAAAATAAGAAGTTATGGGTTATTTATTTCTATAATAAAGTTTTCTTTATTTTCGTTTAAGACTTTAGAAATGATAACTAGTGTATCTGAGTCAATAGTTTGATTATTAGAAGGGGTGAAAATAATGTTTTCAATAATGTTTTCTAAATTATTTGTAAAAGAAGAAGAAATTTTTTTTGTTTGTTTGGAATTTCAGTATCGAAATTGTTTGGGTTTTTTGTTTGAGAGATAAAATGTGTTTGAAAAGAAGTATTTTAAGAGTTTGAAGCAAAAAGTTCAGTAAAAGTATTTTTGTTTTGTAAATTTTTGTTTGAATTTTTTGTTTATCTAGCAGTGATCATGTTAAAGCGAAGTCAAAATCGAAATTCAAATTGAATAATTAGTTTGACCAAATTTTTAGCTGCGATTTCAACTATATAGTGAAATTAAATTATAATTATTTAATAAATTTTTATAGGAATTAATTAGTGTTAAATCTTAGATTAATTAGTGTCGAACTTATAATTAATCAGTATTAAATCAGTGGTAATTTATTCATTGATTCAATTTATTTAATTTCTATAATTCAGTATTTCAAATTATTATTATATACTGAATTTGGATATGATATTCTGTATTACTAATGAATAAATTATTAAAATTCAATAAAGACATTACCAAATTTCTCATTATAACGAATTATGATCTTCAAAAATAAAAATTCATTATAATGAGATTTAACTGTAAATAATTGTAAATTAAAGAAATATTATTAAATTTTCTTTTTATTTTTTTTATCTTTTGTTAAATTTGGTTTTCTTTTTTTCCCATTATTACTATTATTAGGATTGGAAATTTTATATGTACTAGATAAAATCAATACTATACTAATACTATACTCAGTGATGTCCATTTTCTATGTCCCAAGTATTTGCTGTCCCAGCTATATGTCCCAACTATATGTCCCAACTATGTCCCATATATGTCCCAAATGTCCCATCTGTCCCAGCAATGTCCCATCAGTGTCCCATCAGTGTCCTAACTATGTCCCATGACAACACTGGACTATACTTGTATTAATTTTTATATTAATTATTATAATATATTAACTATACCAATTATACTAACCACTATATTAATATTGTACTTCCCAACTCTGCTATTATTACTATTACTATTGTAATTATTATTTTTCCTATAAATAAAAGTAAAAAAAACCAAAAAATGTCTTACACCAGACCTTAATGCTAAAATACTTCCAGGTTTTAATTTTATTCTTACATTTAATTGTGAAAATATTAAATCACCTCCCTTCCAATCTCCTAATAATACAAGCCAACAAAATCCATATTTATCATCATGATCAATATAATATCCACAAATGTAATAGGTGGATGCAGCAGCAACTTTAGAGGTAGTGGCAACTTTAAAGGCAGCAGCAACTTTGGAGGTAGCAGCAGCAACTTTTGGGGTATAATTTACTGCACACATTCCAAATACATATACCTTAAATAATTTTTTTACCTATAATAATAAAATAAAAATAAGTATAAATAAAAATAAAGTTTATTAAAAATAATAATTTTTTTTAATTAAATAGTTTACCTGATCTGGAAAACAAAGATTACTTAAATTATTATACATTGACGGATAATAAAATGCCATTATGTTAGAAAGATAATCTGCTAAATTATTGATATCATATAGCATTTTGTCAACGTAACTATTAATTATTAAATTATATATATTAAAATCAATAATATTAAAATAATAATAAACAAACAATAAAAATTTAATTTACAAACCAAGAATGATCTAGATAATCTTCTTCAAATTTTCCTTTTTATTACTGCAAATAAAATCTTGAGATTGATATACAACTTTATTGTTGTTACGAAAAATCCCAAAATGTTGACTAAATGGTTGGGTTGTATTTGTTGCTGCTGGTGGTGATTCGTGATATATACTTCTTCATTTCTGCTTCAAAATAAAACTTTACAGATTGTCCCATGACATCCATGATTCTACTATCATTCAGGTCGACAATACCATAACTTAATGACGATTTCTTCTTTGCTTTCTTTTTTTTCTCACATAGGCCTATTAATTTCTCTTCGATATCTATTTCGCAAATAATTGCATCAAACTGCCAGGGAGACCAAATCATATCCATGTATTCATTATTAGTTATGAATCGTGGTTGTTTATAATTGTGAGATGAAGGGGGAGGAGAAGGAGTCGTAGGAGTATTTGGTGTTGAGTGAGGCTCAACTTCATTACTTGAATCGTTCGAAACCTTATAACTGTGAGGAGTTGTAGGAATTGTAGATGTTGAGACTCCACTTTAATACTTTATGGATTGTTCAAAATATTTGAGAAATTCAAGTTTGCAAATGTATTGGTGACCTAAATAGCGGAATTGAAGAATCAGGTCAGGCTTTAGTTTGGATCACAATATGATATAACATTATTGTATTGAATACAACTCCAATTGAATACCATACTTCATTCTTCTCGATGTGTTCAGTTACATAAAGCGGATTATTCCCGACATCTAAAATTATTTCTTGGTACGTCTGTGTCTTATTTTCGTCATCCTCGATGTCCCACTTTGTCTAAATTAAGTTCGAAGATTGATAGCAGGTTACTGACCGTTTCGGCGAGCTTGTTTCACGGCTGTCCAAAAACCTTTTGGTAACTCTTGTAGTGATCGATCTTACATATGTCTTCATCTGATGGGTCACCTCACTCATCAGCCAAAGTTAGATCATAGACGGTCAATTCATAATAATTTTAATGGTTTAATCGAAATATCAGCTAATATGGACGGTTCACAAACCTCTATATGTTCCTTTCTTTCGTTGCTGAGTTTTTTATCGATCGACATCCAGAAGTTTTCTATGCTTGCGGAAGACTTCTCATTCTTTAGAAAAAAAAAATGGACGTCAGTATAAAATTAAATAACATTGCTTAAACTACTCAACAATCCATTAAAAAAAACAAAGGTGGACCATAACACGACACGTAGTCTGACAACCAGTTGGTACGTAAGCATCCAGTTGCGTTATGGCAATAGAGAGATATTTTATAGCTTGAGCATGTTCCTTGGCTAATAGGTTCAGAACAGCCTTATACAACATATGCTCCTTTCTTCTATCATAAGTAAAATCATCGTCTTCCGTTCTGTATTTAAGGGATTAATGACCAGTCTGTATTATTCTTGAAAAATTTTCTAACGTGTTGTTGCAATTCAAGAGACATAGTAAGAAAATGACACGAGAAGAAAAATGTAAATATTGGAAATTGATTATTACCAAGAAATAACGCGTAAGTTTTAGCATGATGAAAGTTTGTTTTGATTGGTTTATATTTGTGATCTACATGAAATGTTACACCAAATCAAACCCAATGAAAATTTTAAATTTTCATCACGTGTATATTAAATGATTAGCAAGTACTAAAGAATATAATAAGCGCATTAAACTCAACATAAAAAAATGTGTATATATGGTAAATGCTAGTAGTAAAGTTAGCGTGTTTGTGTAAAATAACTTCATATTTAATTTTTAATTTAGAAAT